AAATAAAATAAAATAAAATAAAATAAAATAAAATAAAATAAAGATTGGCTGAAAGTCGAGCAAACTTCCCAAGGGAGTCTATCATCTCAGATCTCCCTTATCCCAGCTCAGGACTCTCTGCCACCCGATACCTGTCCCTCCGTGCCAAACAGTCAATCAATAAGAATTTGTGGTCGGTTAACTTCACAACTTCCTACACTATGATCACATACCCACCTGCTGGTCGGTTGAAGAAAATTAAGTAATTTGAAGCATTGCCTTCAAGAGCTTTCTGGAAGTCAGCAACACTGATGGGGATGGGGGGGGGGGTGGGGAAAATAGGAATAACAAAAGTTAAAGAAGGATGTTTTAAGGTTGAGAAGAGACCCTCTTGTTGAGTCTCTCAAAGAATGTTTTTAGCACTGAGAAAAAAAAAAGTTTGCATTTTCAGGGCCAGTTAAGAGTACAGAGGTTTCTTAGCATTTTTAAATTCCCGTAAAATATGTTCAGTTTGCTGTATTTGTTCACAGCTCAAATCAGTGATAAAATTCAACTTTAAAAGGCTAAGCCATGCATTCAGCTTCCTCAGAATAAGGGAGGAAACTCACCTGGAGGTCACTGCATGAAGAGGAGCCCCAAGAGTTATTTTGAGCTGCTGACGAAATCCTACGTTGAAAAATTTGTATCAGTCACCACCCTTGATTCAAATAATCCTGACCAATCATTTGGTGGAAGTCTTGCCTAAGTGGTAGAGCATGAATTCCATCACTACCGAAATAGCTACTCACAAGTGCACAGAAAACCTTTTACAGAATTTTCATGGTTTCCATCAAAAAGTAGAACTTTTAAAACCTTGGATTTATCAACCATGGCTGCAGAATGTTTGATGACCACTAGATGGTAGCAGGGTGGCACGAAACCCTTACATTTTATTTATTAATTAAATTTATTTGCTGCCCATTCCTATTGAAATGGATCTGAATGGCAGCTTTGCTGCCGTCTAGTGATTCCTACAGCTCAGAACTGCTGGTCCTAATTTATTAATTATCCTATTCCAGGATAATTAATAAATTCCCATCCACGATTCTCATCTGAATTGTTAGATTGGCCTATTGGCAAATGAGAACTTGAACAAAGCTATCCTTTCTTACTAAAATCAGACTGAGGTAAACCTCCCTTCCTCAGAATACTTCGTGCACTCCTAGGAGAAGAACTGGAAAACAACACACCCAGATATCTATAACCAATGGTGGGATTCAAAAACATTTACTACCGGTTCTGTGGGCGTGGCTTGGTGGGCGTGGCCATGTGACTGGGTGGGCATGGCTTTTTTTTTTTTGCAGCCACCACCTGTTTTTGGACCTTCCTAGCCTCAGAAGAGCCGGGGGGGAGGGGGGGCGTTTTTGCTTCCGTAAGGCTCCTCTAAGGCTCAGGAAGAAAAGGAACAGAGCATGGGAGGGGCACAGAACACCCCTCCAAGGTCCGTTTTGGGAGCTTCCTAGCCTCAGAAAAGCCTCTGTGGGGGGGTGTTTTTACTCTCCTAAGGCTCCTCGGCGGCTCTGGAAGGCAAAAAATGGAGGCACAGCTGATCTTATCTACAGCTGATTGTCGGGAGGGGAAAAAAAGAAATACCTTAGGCGAATGTCAGGCAGGTAGGTGGGATGAGCGAGCATCAGGTGGGAGGGCGACCGGATGGGGGGCGTGGCCAGCCAGAACTTACTACCGGTTCAGCCACCCATGCCAAATTCTTGCTACCGGTTCGCCCAATGCGGTGCGAACTGGCTGAATACCACCACTGTCTATAACCATTTTTTTTAAAGCAGTCCCTCACTAATGGCCACTGTACTTTATATTATCAACACAAACATTGGGCATGGTACCACAGGATGCCTGGGATCATGAGACTTCAGATACCTAGCAGAAGGGGCTCCTGAGGATTGATGACAGCAGGACCAGGAACTTCTCCCCACTTCAAGTAATGCTGCAAGACCAGATGGAGCCGGGCACGGTTAACGGTCTCCATGCAAACTGCCCGCACTGCTTGATAGTTGGCGTAGAGATGGAGGATGGTGAAGAGAGCATAGAGGACATAGGTGAGGCTGAAGGAACGAGAAGGAGAACTGAGAAGAAGATTTCTTGTTCCTAATTTTATTTTTCCCAATACTCCATATATATGGAGGGAGGGAGGGAGGGAGGGAGGGAGGGAGAGAGAGAGAGAGAATGCAAAAACAGTATTTAACTCACAGGAGATTGTCCACTACAAGAGGGATCAGGAAAAGACTGAAGAGTAGGCCAGCTAAGTTCACTAGGGTCTCCTAAACAATGGGAGAAAGATGGGAGAAGGTTAGAAGAAAGTCGGTTTAGACTAGAGGTCCTTTATGATCTCCACTTGGCCAAGCCTTGGGCCGGGTGTTGCTTCTTTGATCCCTCATCTCACCTGGCTTCCATCTTTGGCTGATACATCGGCCATGTTGTCGCGGCGGGCCTGGTGCATGGTGAGAGCTGCACGGGTGGCCCCACCAGCTACACCCACAATGCACTGACATCAAGAGAAGATAAAAGAGAACAGAGCAGAAGATAAATGTGGTTGAAACGGTCACTGTCTCCACAACCATCCCATCAGGTTTGGTCTCTCCATTGTAGAGACCTCAGTCTGTTGCTTTCACTCCACTTTAACAGGTAGTCCTCAACTTACAATAGTTCATTAGGTGACTAAGTTACAACAGCACTGAAAAAGTTGACTTGTGTGACTTTTTCACACTTACAATCACTGCAGCATTCCCTTGCTCATGTCAGAGTATATTCATGAACTGGAATAGAGCTTAGTAACAAGGTCAGCCAATGAGAGCTGAATTGAGAGCTGAAACTTAGAAAGAATCTGGGTATGGTTTATCTCTGTTCTATACTCAGCTCTAAAGTGAAAGAGAAACTAACTTGCTTGCTCGCTTGCCTGCTGAACTAAAGTGAAGCTCTGTTTCTGAGCTCCTGAGTTGCTGTTCTGCTCTGAACCTGTAACATGTCTGCTTCTGTCTGAGTTTGCTCCGTTTTGGAGAAATCTACAACTGGTATTGTAAAGTTTACTTCATTGTTTATAAAGAAGTTAAATGCAGCCGAGGAGCTCCAGTCTGCAGCGCTTCGGGGCAGGCAGGAATCCGTGACTGTGCGCAGTTTCTGCCTGCGCTCGCTGCCGGAGTGCCCTGAGCCACCCGGCTTCAGAGCTACCCACCTCTGTAGAAGGTGGTGAAGATAGGGGGGATCTGGCAGGGTCGAGAGATATCGCACCTCTCTTCTCTAGCCGGCTACACCCCCTTTTCCGAAGGCAGCTGAGCAGCAGTCAGAAATGGCCGCCACTTAGAAGCGCTCAGCCGGAAAAAGAAAGTGCAGAAGGAGTTGAGAAGAAGTGAAAGGTTTTTTTTGCTGACTGGGACAAAGTAACAACAAAAGTACCCTGGAACTTAAAATTTGCGAAAGATACATCATTTCCAGAGATTTACAAGCGGCAAATGGAAGTTAAAAGGGAAAGTTTTTCTTTTTTTTTTTCACTCTCCTCCCTAACGTGACAGCAAATAGAAATGCAAGAGAAATAGGAAAAACCTGCATTGGCACTAATAGGTAATTAAATGCTAAAGGGATAAGGATTTCTGAATATTTTTAAAAAAATTTTTTGCTGTAAGTGGGAAGGGAGAGGAAAAGAATTGGAGCAGGATTTGGAAGTAAGGAAGAGATTGCCTAGAATCTTAAAGAACTATTAAATACTAACAAGACTTCTAAAAGATATATTTTAACTGAAACTTTGTAACTAAACAGTAACCCCAGAAAGAGAAAGTGAAGAAAGAAGAAAGTGCTAAAAGAAACAGCTTATTTGTTTGGTGACTTGGGGACTTTTGGGAATTATCTTTGACTAAAAACACTTGGGTGGTTGTTTTGGAAAACTTTTTCTTTCTACAATGGCATCACTTGTGGATGAATTGAAAATTGAATACAAAAATACAAAGAAGAAGAACAAGAAAGAAAAGACTCTCCTGGCACTCTTTTTTGATTTTTAGAAATGGCGATTTGCACTTATGAGAAACTGACTGCGCAAGAAGATGATTGGGATAAAGAAGAAGCCATCTTTGATGAATGTAACTTTATTTGGGGAAGAAAGGGAGAAAGAGGAAAAGAAAAAGGGGACTTTAAGACTTGAAAAAACAACCAAAAAAGAGAAAAATAAGGTGAAAAGTGGATATAATGTTAGAAAACAACAGAAAGAGGGAAAGCAGAAGAAGAAAAGGGGGTGGAGAGACAAGGGGGTAAAAAGGGCAGGGAGAAGAACAAGCAAGGTTGGAAGGAAGGGATGAGAAGCCTTAATGGTGGGGAGCAAGATGTAAAGAAACAAGATTCATTTAGAGATAATGGGTAAAGTTAACTGAAAAAGGGATTCTGCAAAGGTACATAAGATTATATTCTTATATTTGTACTTAGAAATAATGTTAGAAAATTAGAAACATGTGATCAAAAAATGGGATAAAATATTTAGTGTAACTTAGTGAAATTTTTGTAAATAAAAAGAAGGCAATGAAATAAATGAGAGAATTGAAGTAGGAGGAAATGGGAACATTTTAATGATACAATGATTTAAAATATGTGATGTGGGGGGGAAATAACTATGGAAAGTATAAGTGTTCCCATAAAAGTATGATATTCAACTGAAAAGTAACGTGTAAAATGTTTAAGATATAAATGAATATTAATATTAATGACTAGATTTGTATTGGCATTGATAGTTGTTTTAATTATATTATATACTTATAAAATTTTTTGTTTTTATAAAATATAATGTGTAATTTTAGAATGTACTAAACCGAATCCCAATGGAAGTCATGTATTATATTAAGTATTATAAATTTAGGGGAAAGAGTTAAAGGCGTCACACTCCAATCAGTGTACAGGAGAAGTTTTGTTTAAAGAGAAATAGATAGCTGGAAAAACAGACAAAGAATAATAAGCAATATGATTTGAACTGAGATGAAATAAATAAAATAAAATTAAGAAAGTTAAAAGAGGCGAGAAGCTATATAGAAAACGGAAAATGGTAATAAGATATGGAATGGTATGTAAAATGAACATGAATTTGAATTTGTGTCTGTACGAAGAGATGTAACCCTGGATCAAGCAGCTTTCAGAAAAGATGTTTTATGTTTTTATGTTTTGTGTGTTTGTGTATTGTCTTTGAAAATTAATAAAACTTGTTTAAAAAAAAAGAAGTTAAACGCAGCCTCAGTCATCTACGTTTACTTTTCTGGCACTGAATACATGCTGCAATACTCTGAACAGGTCAAGTGATGAAAATTCGGATGCTTGGCAGCTGGTTCGTATTTATGTGGGGTACAGTGTCCTTGGGCCATGTGACAAGTCAAGTCAATGGGAAAACCAGATTCACTTAACATCCTTGCTATTAAATTAACAATGTGATGATTCACTTAACAACTATGACAAGAAAAATCATAAAATGAGGCAAAACTTACTTATCAGATGTATCGCTTAGCAACATAAATTTTGGGCTCGATTGTGATCTTAAGTCGAGGACTACCTGAATGGCCATCTGCCCTTCTTGCACTCTCGCTTTTTTACCTTGAAAAAGCCACTAGCGCAGACAATGAGCGTGAAGCATCCTGGGAAAGCGGGCGCCACGATCTCCATGAAGATGGCCACGTCGTTGAGCACATCAGCAAAGAGTCTAAATGGCATTGAAAAAGTCACCCCATTAAGGTTAGAAATCAATCAGCCCAACCCAAGCGTACCTTTTGGGTACAATGCCCGCTGTGGTTATGCATGAATGTGTACCTAAGACTGGGCATGAAATCTATTAATTGGAAGTCAAAACTGAAGGAAGGGCCTTATAACTCTTTACCTCCATTGTTTAGCATCACAATCCAGTTTGCTCCTGGAAAAAAAGAGAGAAAACAAGCAAGGAAGTAACAAGGTTTAAAGATCGAGTTCAGGTGTGGACTAGCATCACAGATTCACATCCACACTTATAATTCCCTGGATTGATTTACCCCCATTACTAGGTCTCAGCCCACTTCCCAGGACAGAATGGGACCATTCAGCATGACCAACACACTGAAGGCAACTCACCATGGGACAATTTAACAGTTCAATCTAATTTTTAAAAAAAAAGTATTTTAATTTTTGCCATCCACATTTCATTTTGTCCCTCCTTTTGCATTATTTACCAATTCTATTCCACCATTTCTTTGATATTTTGTCCTGCAGAGAATTGTCCTGCAGCAAGCAAGCCATAGCAAGTTGTCCTGTGATGAGACGGTCACAGTGTGGTAAAAGTATCACTGAAGGAGGATGCATGATTAATAGATGACACTTTGAGTTCTTGGGGAGGGGAGTAGGCAATAAATGAAATATGAATTGCCCCATCCAAGGTGATGAGAGAATATAACAGATAACAGATAATCAGTTGGAAGGGACCCTGTAGGTAATCAAGTCCAACCCCCCATCCAAGTGGGAGACCCTACACCATTTCTGACAAAGGGCAGTCCAATCTCCTCTTGAAAGTCTCAAGTGAGGGAGTTGGGAGGAGCTTGCGCCGTGACGATACGGTCTGCAATCGAGTTCCTCGATTGCAGCCGATATCTCCGTTATCGGCGGTCCAAACGGACCTATGCTGTCCCGTAGGGACAGCTATCGTGAAGAGCGTACCCTGAGGACTCCGGGGATATCGCAAAATCCCTGGAAGACCCTGGTGAAGCTCTTCTTGCTGGCGGCGGAGAGGCAGCCTCCATGCTGCTGAAGTCGGGGCGGCTCCAGAAAGAACGGGTCTGAGAGAGAGTCTGTCGGTTGGGTGAGAAACTTTTCTTTTATTTAATTTTTTTGAGTCTTGAAAGTTCACTCTGATTATCAGAAGAAATCTGTGTGATTTTTTTTTTGACAAAACTGACTAAGTGGCGTTTTTTTTTAAGGGAGACGTCAAAGAGAGAATTTATTTGCTTTTTTTTTTCTTTGCTTTCGGACTTCATTGCTATTTACTGGATAACTGGACTGTTCCTTTTTATATTTATATGTTTTATTCTTCCTTTGGATTTTTCATTTTTAGGCTAGAGGCTCCCTTTGTTTATTTTTGTTTATTCTTTTTTGCTTTTATATGTTTGTGTATTCCTTGCCGGCTTTTCTTTTTCTTTTTTATGCTGTTCAGAGAGGAGGGGGGAAAGTGAGAACTAAGAAACTTTGTAACACTGCCAACTAGAGGCTTGGAAACATTTTACTTGAACTGGAAAAAGACGAAGCACTCCTTCTCAAGGACATCTTTTGATAAGATAGAGGAAAGCGCTTTGTAGAATATTATTACAGGTGTCTTTCTGGATATTTATGGCTTAGCTTTGAAGCTTGTGGGAAAGAGAAGGGAGTCATAATTAGAGCCTTGGACAATTAAATAGAGTGCAGTGTATTGCTGCTTACTTTCTTTTTCTAATTCTTTTTTTTTTTAGTTCCGCCACCCCCTCCACCAGTATCAAGGTTTTTATTTTTAAGTTTGATTTATTTCCAAAGGGAAGCCTCTGAATTTTTTTTTTATTTTTATTCTATTTTGATCTATTTTATTTTATTTTTTCTCCTTTTTATTTGGATTCTGCTTTTCTTTTTAATGTATATCAATGGATTATTTCTTTTTTCTTTTTTAATTGAGATTTTTTTTTGGCTGGATTAAGGTGTGGAATTTGAAGAATTTTACTCTTCTTGCTTTTTGTTTTGTTTTTTCTCTCTTTTTCTCTTTCCCTTCTTTTTGGCTTTGGCCTTGTTTATCATTATTATTACTGGGTTTTTATTCTTATTTTTACTCTCTTTTGTGGATTATTATTTTTTTTAATTGGATTAAGGTCAGGAAGAATTTGAAGAATTTTTTCTTTTTTTCTCTTTTTTTGCTCTTTTCCTTTTTCTTTTTCATGTTTTTTTTCTTTTTCCCTCATTATTGATTCTTTTTTATTATTGGCCTTTTCATTTTGGATTATAATTGGCTACTCTTTTTGGATTAAAATTTGAAAGAACTTGAAGAGCTGGAACCATTTAAAATGAGTAAGAAACTTATACCTTCGGGTGCCTCTATGTCTACTTCTGCCTCCCCACCATCTGGACAGCGTTCAATTCAGACAATGTTAAAGCAAGATAAAGAAAAAGAACAAGAAAGAGTATCTTTTCAGATGATTATGCAAGGAATTCAAGATCTTAAGATAAAAATAGATACCATTGAACAAAGAACAGGGAGGACGGAGGAAAAAGTGGAAAGTATTCAACAGATGATGGCAAAATATGAGGAGAGGCTTCAAAAAGTCGAAGAAGGGGGTAAACGAAGAGAGGAGAAGATTGGTAATATTGATAATAGACTAACAGTGATTGAACAAGAAAAAAGTGGGATGTTGAAGTGGGAGTTGGATAGATCAGAATTCTATCTCAGATTTCAAAATACAGAAGAAGAAAAAGGACAAGACTTGGCTGCGATAATGGTAGGAATCTTGGCGGATGCGTTGGAGATAACAGAAGAGAAGATGATGGATGGAAAAGATGAGATATATCGAGTTTTTACAAGATATGCGATGAGAAATAATCTGCCCAGAGAAGTCCATATTAGATTTACTAAAAAATCCATGAAGACACAAATATTACAAGTGGCAAGAGAGAAGATATTGAAATATAAAGGTAAAGAAATTTTGGTTTTAAAACAAATACCTAGAAGAGTGAGAGAGATGAGAAGAAAATATCGATTCCTGACCAAAATGTTATTGAAAAAGGAGGTGACTTACAGATGGCTGATCCCAGAAGGATTGATGTTTACGTGGCAGGAACAGAGACATAGAATTGATTCAATTGAGAAAGCAGAACTGTTCTATGCAGAAGTTTTTGGAGGGAGAGAAGGAGAGGCAGAAAAGGAGGTTCCATTAACTGAATCCCAAGAGGAACAAATGGAGATTGGAAAAGAAGAAGGTGCAGTAGGTGGACAAGTGGATATTAAAGATCAGCGTGAACCAAGACCCACGAGAGTGGTTAAATCTAAATATAAAATATAATCATGGAAGAGAAAAAATTGATTACAATGAATATAAATGGACTGAATTCAGCTGCTAAGAGAAGGAAGATTTTCCATAAATTAAAGAAATTAAAGTTTGATATAATTTGTCTACAAGAAGTACATATTAAAAAGCAACATGAACAATTGTTATTATAACCAAAATTAGGGAAATTGTTTACCTCTTTGACTCAATGTAAGAAAAGAGGGGTGGTCCTATATATTAAAGAGGCTATCCCAGCAAAAATGATTTATACAGATGAAGATGGGAGAATATTAATGGTGGAAATAATGGACAATAATAGAAAGATACTTTTGATTGCAATTTATGCTCCGAATGATAAACAGGAAGAATTCTATAAAAAATTACATGCCAAGATGGCTGGACTGGACTATGCTAATATAATTATGATGGGAGACTTCAATGGAATTGTGGACAATAAACTTGATTATATTGCAACAGCAGCAAAGCATAATAGAAAAACTCTTCCTAAATCTTTTTTTAAAATGACAGATGAATTAACTTTAAAAGATATATCGAGAGAAAGAAATATTAAACTTAAGCAATATACGTTCTATTCAAATAGACATTTATCATGGTCCAGACTTGACATGATTTGGATCTCAACAGACTTAATATCTAGTATTCAAGAAGTAAATATTGAAACAAGTACTTGGGCGGATCATAATCCATTGACAATTAAATGGAAGGGACAAAAAAAAAGATCGAGATGGACATTAAACAACACTATTTTAAAGGAGAAAGAATTTATACAATGGATGGAGAAAGAATTGGCTTTTTTTTTTAAAGAGAATAGAAAAGAAGACACTTCAATACAGAATGTTTGGGATACAGTGAAGGCTTATGCTAGAGGCTTGATAATAGACTATACAAGAAAAAAGAATATTAGGAAAAGGCAAGCTTTCAAAGCCTTGGAGGATGAATATAAAAGACTCGAAAAAGAACTGCAGAAAATACCACAGAAAAAAGATGTCAAATTGAAACTGGATATAACTAAACATAAAATGGATTTAATAGAGAAAGAGGAACTGGCACAGAAAATTAGGAATGCTAAACAGAATTATTTTGAAGATGCAAATAAGCCAGGTAGATGGCTAGCATATAAGTTGAGAAAGGAGAAAGAGTCGAGGAAAATATTGCAGTTAATAGATGACCAAGGTAAAACTTGTCATGGCAGCAAAGAGAAAAAAGAAATTATTTATGATTTTTACAAACATTTGTATAAGAAAGAAGATATTGATGAGGAGAAAGTTAAACAATACCTGCAGAATGCAAATCTACCTAAGATACCTAAAGAGATTGAAGAAATGTTAGAAAGCAATATAACAATGATGGAGTTAAGTCAAGCACTTAAGAAACAAAATAATGGAAAGGCACCAGGTCCAGATGGGTTATGATTTGTTGTTGGGTTGGCATGCATTTTTATGGTATAAGGGAACCAAAACACAGGGGTACTTTAGAAGACATTATATACGGGAGTCTCTGTGGTTAAATTGGGAGAAGACAAAAAAACAATGTTATTTGAAAATTCCAGTTTGGTTATCGACGATAGAAGCGTTTTCTTACCCTATAATTTATAAAAAGGAACAAACAGTTAGCTATGGGGAATTACTAGATGAAAAGGGTGAACTTAAATCGATACAAAAATTAGAGGAACAAGGTATACAGATGAATTGGTTTTCATATTTGCAAATACATGCAAAGTATCATGAGGATTCCAAAACAGAGGGATTTTATGATAAACAAACTGATTTAGATAAGATTTTGATGGGTACTGATGAAAAGGTGATTAAAAAATTATATGGTTACTTATTGGAAATTAAGCTGGAGGAAGAACAAGTTAAGGAAACGATGATTGCTTGGGGGAGGAATTTTGGATATGGGATTGATTTAGAGAAATGGCAGAATTTATGGTTGCAAAATTATAAAATGACAATGTCTACAGCCTATAAAGAAAATTTGTATAAGATGTTTTACAGGTGGCATTTTCCTCCGACAAGGATAGCAAGAATGTTCAAGAACAAATCCGAAAAATGCTGGAAATGTCATCAGAAACCTGGTACATACTACCATATGTGGTGGACTTGTGAGGATGCTAGAAAATATTGGACTAAAATCCACACGTGGCTGGAAAAAATGACAAAGAAGCACATAGACTTGAAACCGGAGTTTTTTTTATTGGGAATCTTACCAGATGCTTATAGTAAAGAGTTGAAATATTTGATTGTAAATGTATTGACTGCGGCTAGGATTGTATTTGCAAAGAATTGGAAAAATGAGAAAATTCCATTACAGGAAGAAGTTATAAAGAAAATATTGGAATGTGCTGAGATGAGTAGATTGACTTTTGAAATCAGAGAGCAAGAAGATAAACAATTTTATACAATTTGGGATCTTTTCTATCAATGGCTGAATGATGAAATACAAAAATAGAATATTTGAAATGCTAGATAATAAGGAATAATATTGAATTTATTTTTCTTTTCTCATTCTTGGTATTGGATATTATACTTATATAATGGTTTTCTTTTTCCTTTTTTTTTCTTTTATTTTAGGATAGAACTGGCACGATTATATGATTTGTTTTAGAATAAATCACTTAAAACATAGTTATCTCACAAAGGCATGATCAAATAAAAGTGTAGTCAAATTTCTTTTTTTTTAAATAATAATGATATGATGATTTATAAGTTTGTATTGACAATAAGAGTTATTATATAAGGTAATTGTAATTGTGACTATGAAGTGAACGCACAAAACTGATGAACCAACCGACTCACTGTTTGTATATAAATATGGGGGAGCTGATGTTTTTATGTTTTGTCTGTTTGTTTGTATGTTAAAAAACAATAAAAACTTTTATAAAAAAAAAAGAAAGTCTCAAGTGATGGCGCTCCCACAACTTCCAAGGGCAACTTCTGTTCCATTGGTTGATTGTTCTCGCTGTCAGAAAGTTTCTCCTTATTTCCAGGTTAAATCTCTCCTTGTTCAGTTTCCATCCATTATTCCTTGTCTGGCCTACAGGCACTTTAGAAAATAGCTTGACTCCTTCCTCTCTGTGGTAACCCCTCAAATATTGGAAGACTGCTCTCATGTCTCTCCTGGTCCTTCTCTTCACTAGACTAGCCAAGCCCAGTTCCTGTAACCGTTCTTCGTGTGTTTTAGTCTCCAGTCCCCTAATCATCTTGGTTACTCTCCTCTGCACTCTTTCTAGTGTCTCAACAACCTTTTTATAATGTGATGAACAAAACTGGATGCAGTACTCCAGGTGTGGTCTTATTAAGGCTTTATAGAGATGTATTAGTACCTCATTTGATCTTGATTGTATCCCTCTGTTAATACAATGATGATTGCATTAGGGTTTTGGGCTGCTGCTGCACATTGCTGACTCATATTTAGCTGGTTGTCCACTAAGACTTTAAGATCCCTCTCAAAGTTACTGCTATTGAACCTGGTTTCACACAGTCTATATGTGCATTTTTCGTTTTTCTGGCCTAAGTGTAGGACTTTACTTTTCTCTACATTGATTTCATTTTGTTAGATACGGCCCAATGTTCTAGTCTGTCAAGATCCATCTGGATCTTGAGCCTATCTTCTTGGGTGTTAGAAGGACTCACCCTTTGCTCCAAGCGAAAGCGATTCGGCCCAACATTCCTGTTCCATCTGTCATGGAAAAGACAAGAATGGTTTGAATGGCAACACAGGGAAAAAATATAAAAGTAACACAAAGAGAGATATCTGAGAAAGTAGGAGACCATGGCTGGTAGATGGCTAGAGGAGGAGAAAGCAGAAGGGGCTTGAACACAGGATGACCTGAGGCCAACATGGCTTCAGGGACTCCAGGCCCACCTAAACACAGATTCTATGCAAGCAGCTTAATTGTTTTTATCCCACAGCTTTATGCTTTATGCTTGCTCAAACTTAAGGAACAATTATTTGAAGGAATTGAGATCTAATCAGCCATCACGCCCAGCACATTTATTGATAGACACTGATACAACAAATTTTGCATGCAAGAGACCAAATTTTCACAGCATTTTATGTGGTTTGCATATAGTTTCATAGTTGTTAGTCTTTTTATTGTTTTTAAATTGTTTTATTGTTTTAAGGTGCTGTGACCCATCCAGGGCCACATCTATGAGGATATAGTAGTAGAAATCAATTTTATCAATAAAATAATCATCATGTAAATGGCATAACCCCAGAGTTGCTTCAAAAGTGAGATGGGTGCCAGATAAATTTAATAAAATCATTTGTGTGTCATTTGCCTAATAGACAAATTATGCAATAACTGATTTCTGGATTTAACATTTGTGAATGATTAACTATTAACTATTTCTATTTCATTATGACTGCCTCATAATGACATCTAAAATTTTGGTTTAACAATGGCGCAAAGCAGACATGGTTGTTTGTAAAGCAATACTCGGGGCTTAGGTTAGGTTGGCTTGCTCAAAAGTAAACAAGGGTTAAAATAAACCATGATGAATGTTGGAGAACCCACTATACTAATTTTGTGTTGGGTTTAGAAATCAAGGAAGAATGATTAAGGCCTTGGGAGCCTATTACATTAGGTGAGGATTAGGAGAGGCAAAGAGGTGAACTTCTCCAGGGGATCTGGTGGCACAAGAAATAGGACTTGTCAATGGAAATAGCAATAGAATACAAGTGAGGAAACTGGTGATGGAGAAAGGCCTTCTACCATGAGTAGGAAAGACTCAGAAATTCAAGCGAGGCCCACCTTTCAGAATCCAAGTGATAGTGGCAGCTGCGACGGTGGAGGTCTCATCCCCGACCCCCACCCCTTTCAGCACTGCCTGGGTGGCCAGTGTCCCCGTGATGCTGCTTGCGAAGGCCTGCAGGTTGATGGGGGGATGAAGAGGAAGAGAGAAAGGGCAGAAGTTGGAATAGGATAAGGAATCCCCTGGGCCCAGTTCCATATCCATAATAACAGAGTTGAAAGGGATCTTCTAGTCGAAGACCCATCCCATTTCAGACAAATGGCTGCCCAATCTTTAAAAAAATTTAAATTGTCCAGAGCACCCACAACTTCTGAAGGCAAGATGTCCCACTGATTCAATTGTTCTGTCAGGAAATTTCTCCTGAGTTCTAGGTTGCTTCTCTCTTTGATTAGTTTCCATCCATTGCTTCTTGTTATGTCTTCATCACCTGGGGTTCCTCTTAGCTCACAGACTCCAAAACCTACACACCCCAAAGATTCAGCCAAAATAAGCCCTCTGTTCAAAAATGCGTTCTTCTAGAGATACCAAAACAGAGAAGCGGCCTTTCTGGGTGAGGAGAGAAGGAAGCCTGGAGCTTCATGGATCCCATGGAAAGAGAGCAGCCCTGCCCCTCAGAAAGGAACCTTTCTCTCACCTGGATGGTGTCCCAGAACTGGTAGGGGAGGTAGTCCGCGCTCACACTTTCAGGATAACCTTGGGGCAGGAAGATGGACTGCAGGAAAGAGAAAGGGTGAGCACCTTCTTCCTTTTGATCCACTCAATTTCTGCCCATGGATCCCCTTTCATTTTTGCCAATCTGCCTGCATTCTCTTCCCCGATGAAGCGTTGTACTGATTAGTTTCTTCCACTTCACCAAAGTATCTCCGGATGACCCAGCAAGGGTTCGCACAAATCCCACAGCCAACGCAAGTCCAAGAGGAAAGGGTGTCTCAGCTGATCAGCATTCATTTTTAAATAGGGTGGTCCCATGGCCATATTCATCAAGATCTTAAAATAATTATTTGAATCACAGTTGTGTAACCTGAGAACCTGGGACTCCTGAAAGCCATAATTGCCACTCACAGACCTCTACAAAAAAGTTATGAAATTGTAAGATTCTTTGGGAACATAATGAGAAAATTATTAGAAGTATGACTGGAGAGGATCAGATCTGATATATCTACTTTTTATTAAGTCAATCATCATTTGTGTATCCCTCGCAGTCAAGTAGCTCTCTAAACTTTAAAGACATGTGGAGTTCAACTTCCAGAATTCACCCAGAACTTTCATTCTTCCAACGTGGAAGTTGAAGTTCACACATCTTAAAGTTGCCAAGGTTGGGAAACTCTGTTCTAAACCATTTTTAAAACCAGAACAGTTTACTGACCATGAAGATATGATGGAGTGAACGAAAGTGCCAGGCCTCAGAGGCATCTTCCACAGAACTTAGCTTTCCATTAGGGAGGGCCTGGTAACGCCGAGCCGATCGAGAGCCATAACTTTCCATGCAAAGTGTCTGAATTTCCAAATCAGCCATGACTGTGCCTGAACTTTTAAAGATATGCAGCATTAATCAAACATCACTATAACTGAGAAAAAAAATGTGATCATTGTCTAACTAGAAGATCATGCAAGATGAAAGTTTTGAAGATCCTCTCCAAAAAGGTTATCACTCAAGCAACCTGGAAAGTTTGCACAAATATACATATACATATCTACATACCCACATATAAAGTGTGCATGTGTCTATGCATTTGTTTTCATTTAATTTTTAATATTGTTAGGCATACAGAGTCAGAGATGAGTGGCCACATAAATCAAATAAAAAAATACAAGTTAAAAGCTTCCCGTTTGTGGTCAATCCACCCAAAAGCCTTTAATTGGATAATTTTCTACCTATTTAATTATATAAATGGTATGTTCGTGATTGCATCCTTTTTTCTTTACAACAAAGAAGGAGAAGTGGTGTAGAACAGTGTATCTAAATCTCAGCAATCTTAAGATGTGTAGACTTCAACTCCCAGAATTCTCCAGCCTAGCTGGAGAATTCTGGGACTTGAAGTCCACATATTTTAAAGTTGCTGAAGTTGAACAGCATGTGCTTATGTTGTTGCATCCTTCACTTTTGATCAAACTGTCAGAGAACTGCTAGAGGGCGGAGCTGGTGTCGCGACGATACGGCATGCGATCTTGGAGGTCTGAGATCGCTGCCAATATCTTTGCTCCTGGATGGTCCTATTGGATCTAAACCGTCCTGAAGAGACGATGAAAGTGAAGAGCGCATCCTGACGATCCCAGGGATACCTCGAAGTCCCCTAGCTCTTCTTGCCAGCGGCAAAGAGGCAGCCATTAAAGCTGCTGAAGTTGGGACAGCTCCGAAACGGAAGAGAACAGAAAGAGAGAGTCTGCCGGTTTGGTGAGAACTTTTTCTTTATTCTAAGATCTGAAAGGACACCCTAAGGAAAAGAAAGAATCTGTAAAAGTTTTGACAGAAGTGATTAAGTGGCGATTTTAAACAGGAATGTCAAAGTAATGTTTTTTTCTCATTGCTGGATTTTCTATACATGATCTTATATTTTGAAACTGGACTGGTTTTTTTCTTTTCCATCTATTTTTTTTCCTCCTTTTTGATTTTGTAACATTTTAGGCTAGAGACTCCCTTTTAGTTATTTCTTTTCTTTAAATATATTTTTTTAAATTAATTCTTATTATATTTTGCTTGGAAAAGGAGGGGGAAAGTGAAAGCAAAGAAACTTTGTAACACTGCCAACTAGAGGCTTGGAAATATTCTATTTCTCTTGTGACCAGACAAAGCTGAGAAAGAAAGAACTGAGACTTTTTTTCAAGGACATTGCTATTTGATAAGATAGAGGGAAGAGCATGGGAGAGTATTATTGCAGGTGCCCTTCTGGGCTTCTATCAACAGCTGGAGTCTGGTGCTGAAGGTTATGGAAAAAGAAAAGGTGATAAGTTTCTGGAGAAGAGTGTTATAACAAGAGCCTTGGATTAACTAAACAAAGTGCATCTTGATTTTTCCTAAGCTGTGCTACCCCTCCTCAACGGTTTACTTTTTGAAATAGCTATTTGGATTTTTAGTTCTTTGGAACTTGTCTTTGCTTTTGTTTGTTTTTTGCTTGTCTTTGGAAGTTAAATTTTTACGTTTGCTTTTTATTTTAAAAGAAAAGTTTTAGTATTAATGATTCCCTTCCTTTTCTTTTTAAGGGTGTAGCCTTTTTTTCTTTTTCTCTTTCTGTCTTTCTGGTACTTTTGTTTTTCCATCTACCTCCAATACTTTTTCTTTCTTTTTATCTTCCTGGCTTTTTTTTCTCTTTCTCTTATGCAGTCTTTTATATTTGAGGCCTCTTAATTGGATTAAGGTGTTGAAGAACCTGAAGAATTTTTCCTTTTTTAAAGCTTTTTATTCCTCACTTTTCCATCTTTTTTAGGATTTTACAACTTTTTCTCTTTTGTGTATGTTTATGGTTTTTCCTTCATTTTTGAATTTTCATTGTTATCTAACTAATCAATTGGATTAAGGTTTTCAAGAACCTGAACAAATTCTTTTTTCTTTTTTTATTATTTTTACTATTTGGCTTCTTTTTCCTTACTATTTTTATTTGGAATTGCAATTGGTTACTTCATAATTGGATTAAGGTCTAGAAGAACCTGAAGATTTTGAATTGCTTGAAATGAAATGAAATTAACAGCTCCTGGTTCTTCAACTTCTACTTCCTCCTCTCCACCATCTGGAGAACAACGTTCAATACAGACAATATTAAGGCAAGAGAACCCTGCAGATGATTATGCAAGGAATTCAAAACATTCAAACAAGATCAGAGAATATTGAAAAGAGAATAGAGAACATAGAACAAAGAACAGAGAACACTGAACAAAGAACAGGGAAAACTGATGAAAAAGTCAAGAACATCCAACAAATGATGATGAAGTATGATGAGAGACTACTAAAAATTGAAGAAGAAGATAAACAAAGAGATAAGAAGATTGGAGACATTGATAACAGATTAACTGTGGTTGAACAAGATAAAAGTGGTATGCTGAGATGGGAGATGGACAGATCAGAATTTTATCTTAGATTCCAAAACATAGAGGAAGAAAAAGGACAAAATCTAGCTGAGATAATGATAGAAATATTGGCTGAAGCTTTGGAAATAACTGAAGAGAAGATGATGAATGGAATCGATGAGGTCTATCGAGTCTTCACAAGATATGCAATGAGAAATAGCCTACTAAGAGAAATTCACATCAGATTTACAAAGAAAGCCATTAAAAAGCAAATATTGCAAGTGGCAAGAGAGAAAACATTGAAATATAAAGATAAGGAGATTGTGGTTTTGAAACAAGTACCCAGAAGAGTAAGAGAGATGAGAAGAGAATACCGATTCTTGATCAAATTGCTACTTAAAAAAGAGGTGAATTATAGATGGCTGATTCCAGAAGGTTTAATGTTCACATGGCAAGAACAGAGATACAGAATTGATTCAATTGAGAAAGCTGAATCATTCTATACAGAATTTTTCAGAGGGAAAGAGGAAGAGGCAGAAAAAGAAATTTCACTAATTGAATTCCAAGAGGACTGCCAAATGACGACTGAAAAATAAGAAGGTGCAGTAGGTGGAAAGGAGGAAGCCAAAGAACAACGTGAACCAAGATCCATGAGAGCTGCCAAACCTAATTATAAAATATAACCATGGAAGAGAAAAAATTGATTACAATTAATATAAATGGACTTAATTCAGCCGTTAAAAGAAGGAAAACCTTCCATAAATTAGAGAAATTAAAATTTGATATAATCTGCCTACAAGAAGTGCATATTAAAAAGCAATATGAACAATTGTTGATACAGCCAAAACTAGGGAAAATATTTACCTCCTTGACACAATGCAAGAAAAGAGGAGTGGTTTTATATATTAAAGAGACCATTCCAGCGAAATTGATTTATACTGATGATGACGGAAGAATACTAATGGTGGAAATAATGGATAATAATACAAAAACTCTCCTGATTGCAATTTATGCCCCGAATGACAAACAAGAAGAATTTTATAAAAAATTACATATGAAAATAATTGAACTGGACTATGCTAATATAGTTATGATGGGAGATTTTAATGGAAGTGTAGACAACAAACTAGACTATACAGCACAGAAAACAATAAAGCAAAACAGAAAGACTCTCCCTAAATCCTTTTTTTTAAAATGGTAGATGAAATAAACTTAAAAAATACATGGAGAGAAAGAAATGCTAAAACTAAACAATACACCTTCTACTCAAATAGACACTTATCATGGTCCGGAATAGATATGATATGGATGTCAACAGAATTGTTAACTAATATTCAAGAAATAAATATTGAAACAAGTACTTGGGCAGATCACAATCCAATGACAATTAAATGGAAAGGACAAAAAAGAAGATCTAGATGGACGTTAAATAATACTATTTTAAAGGAAAAAGACTTCACACAGTGGATGGAGAAAGAATTGGCTTTTTTCTTTAGAGAAAACAAAAAAGAAGATACATCAATCCAGAACGTATGGGATACAATGAAGGCATATGCCAGAAGACCTGATAATAGACTATACAAGGAAAAGAAATACTATGAAAAGATTAGCCTCTAAGGCATTAGAGGATGAGTATAAAGGACCTGAAAAAGAGCTACAGAAAATGCCACAGAAAAAGGACATAAGTTAAAAATGGATATAACCAAACATAAAATGGGTCTAATAGAAAAAGAATTAGCACAGAAAATTAGAGGTGCTAAACAGAACTACTTTGAAGATGCAAATAAACCAGGTAGATGGTTAGCATATAAATTGAGAAAGGAGAAAGAATCAAGGAAAATATTGCAATTAATAGATGACCAAAGCCAAGTTTGCTATGGTAGTAAAGAGAAGAAGGAAATCATTTGAGACTATTATGGGAAATTATACACACAAGAGAATATTGATGAGGAAAGAGTCAAACAGTACCTACAGAATGCTAAGTTACCCCAGATGCCTAAAGAGATTGAAACAATGTTAGAAAGCAATATAACAATGGAGTTAACTGAAGCACTCAAGAAGCAAAATAATGGAAAGGCACCAAGCCCAGATGGACTTCCAGCAGAATTTTACAAAACATTACAAGAATCGTGGAATCTTCCATTGCTAGAAGTTATTAATGAAATTATGTTAAAGAAGAGGATACCTAAATCATGGTCAGAAGCTTATATTACACTTGTCCCAAAAGAGGAGGCCGATCCACTACAAATGAAGAGCTATAGACCTATTTCCCTACTAAATGCAGATTATAAAATTTTTGCTTCAATATTGGCAGAAAGACTTAAAAAATACTTAATTTTATCTATCCTGATCAAAATGGATTTCTGCCAAAGAGACAAATTAAAGACAATATGAGAGTAATCTTGGACACTTTGGAATACTATAAGGCACATCCTGAAAAACAAATGGCCTTGATATTTCTAGATGCACAGAAGGCATTTGATAATGTGAATTGGTGATTCATGTTATTACTGCTGGAACAGATGGGCTTTGCTAGAAAAATTATTCAAGCAATAGAAGCTATATATCATGAGCAAACGGCAAAGTAATGAGAGAGGGAGAACTGACATACTCTACTGATATAAGAAAAGGAACAAGACAAGGGTGCCCACTATCACCTCTGTTGTTTGTGTTAACTTTGGAAGTGCTAAATAGAAATGTTAGAGACTAAAAGATTATAAAAGGGATGAAAATTAAAAAGGAAGAATTTAAGTTGCAAGTATTTGCAGATGATCTGGTTTTTATCTTAGAAGACCCACTAGAAACAGCATCAAAATTGATAGAAAAGATAGAGACGTATGGAAAGGTGGCTGGTTTGAAAATAAATAAAGATAAGACAAAGATCTTGACAAAGAATATGCTATCAAGGCAAAAGGAGGAACTGGCAGACCTATTGAAAATTCAGGTCATGAATAAGATCAAGTACTTGGGGATATATTTGAAGATGCAGTACACTAAAAGAGAATAATTATATCAAACTTAAACAGCAGATAGCGCTAGATTTGGTGAAATGGGAAAATTTACAACTGTCATTAATAGGGAGAATATCAACAATCAAGATGAATATACTACCCAGAATTTTATATTTGTTTCAAACAATTCCAATTAGGCTTAGAAAAGACTATTTTGAAGATTTAAATAAAATTGTGTTGAAATATGTATGTCAAGGTAAGAAAGCGAGAATAAAGTTAAAACTTTTGCCAGATGCTAAAATAAGAGGAGGATTTGGTTTGCCTAATTGGGAGTTGTATTACCAAGCTGCAAATTTGATGTGGGTTAAGGAATGGATAACATTAAGATATACTAGATTGTTGAGATTAGAAGGACATGATCTGTTGTTGGGGTGGCATGTTTTTTTATGGTATAAAGGAACTAAAACACAGGGGTACTTTAGAAGACATTATATACGGGAGTCTCTGTGGTTAAACTGGGAGAAGATTAAAAGACAATGTTATTTGAAAATTCCAGTCTGGCTATCGACTATTGAAGCATTTTCTTATCCTATAATATAAAAAAAGGAACAAACAGTTAGATATGGTGAAATATTGAATGAAAAGGGTGAACTTAAATCTATACAAAAATTAAAGGAACAAGGTATAAAGATGAATTGGTTTTCATATGCACAAATACATTCAAGGTATGATAAAGATTCTAAAACAGAAGGTTTCTATGATAAACTGACTGATTTAGATAAGATTTTGATAGGTACTGATGAAAAGGTGATTTAAAAATTGTATGGATATTTATTAGAAATTAAACTAGAAGAAGAACAAGTTAAAGAAACTATGATTGCTTGGGGGAAGAATTTTGGATATGGGATTGATCTAGAGAAATGGCAAAAATTGTGGTCTCAAAATTATAAAATGACAATGTCAACAGCATATAAAGAAAATTTGTATAAGATGTTTTACAGGTGGCATTTCCCCCTGACAAGAATAGCAAGAATGTTCAAGAATAAATCCAAAAAATGTTGGAAATGTCATCAGACACCTGGCTCATATTACCATACGTGGTGGACTTGTGCGGATGCTAAAAAATACTGAACTAAAATCCACACGTGGTTGAAAAAAATGACAAAAAAGCATATAGATTTGAAACCAGAGATATTTTTATTGGGAATTTTACCTGAAATATAAAGTAAAGACTTGAAATACCTGATTGTAAATGTATTAATAGCGGCTAGGATTCTATTTGCTAAAAACTGGAAAAATGAGAAAATACCATCAAGGAGGAAATCATTAAGAAAATATTGGAATGTGCTGAAATGAGCAGACTGACGTTTGAAATTAGAGAACAAGATGATAAACAATTTTATAAAATTTGGGATCTATTCTATCAATGGTTAGACAATAAAGTATAGTAACGAAATATGTAGACTTTTAGAGAATACTAAATATATAAAGATGTATTCTTTCCTTATTATATCTACAAAATGATTTTAGGATAGATTTGGGATGATAATATGAATTGTCACAAAACAAATTAAGTAAAATATGATTATTTCATAAAGCATGAATGAATAAAAGTATAGTCAAATGATTGATTAATAATGATACCAATGTATTTAATATTGGATTGAAAATACGAGATCATATACAAGGGCTATCCACAAAATAGATTACGTTTTCGTCTGTGGCAAGAAGGGGCGGAGCTAGTGTGGCCATCTTTGGTCTGTGCGTCCGCCACTCACTCTGCATCTAGTCGTGCTAGTGGGAGGTTCGTATCGTGGCCCGTTATTTCACAGCAAACGTTTGAAATGTGTGCTGCAATTGAAAATCCCTCGAGTTGTGTGGTGCGATCAGTGATAAGGTTTTTGTTGGAAAAAAACCATAAACCGATTGAAATTTTTCGGCAACTGTGTGAAGTGTATGGGGACAACATCATCACTGAAGGTGGAGTGCGCCAATGGTGCATTAAGTTTAAAAATGGCCGAACTACGGCACTCGAGAAGTCCTGAATGCTTTCAAGTGGGAGATTTTTCCTCATCAGCCCTACAGCCCCGATCTTGCACCAAGCGCCTGAGATTTGAGCCAGTCAGTCACACCCGCCTGCAGTTCCACGTCATTGTCAAAGCGCTGTGTTCCAAGCTGTGCTGTGAAATAACGGGCAACGACACAAACCTCCCACTAGCACAACTAGATGCAGACTGAGCGGCGGACGCACAGACCAAAGATGGCTGCACTAGCTCTGCCCCTTCTTGCTACAGATGAAAACGTAATCTATTTTGTGGATAACCCTCGTACAATGTAATTGTAATTGAAGACTACAAAATGGAAGCACAAAACAATGTGTAAACCAACCGGCACACTGTATGTACATATATGGAAGATGGCCTGATGTTTTTATGTTTTGTTTGTTTATGTTTGTTTTAAAAACCAATTTTAAAAAAAAACTGTCAGAGAACTGCTAGAGGCTAGATGTTGTATTTTAGCCACCCCTTAAAAGTTCACACTTAAGTGGATTGACAGTGCACAAACAATAAAACAATTGCAATATCTAACACAAAGAGGTGTTTTTAACATCTGGTTTTTGAACACACACATCCTCTGCTCAACAAGCATGCTTTTGTGAAAATTCAGGCTTTAACCACTCACCCAAACCCCAATGTGGTGGGAATATGCCCCATATTTCAAACATACCGATTCTGTAAACTGCTTAGAGAAAGTTGTAAAGCACTATAAAGCGGTATATAAGTCTTAAGTGCTACTGCTATCTTGAGAACTCCATTTAAATAAAAACATATTAATGACACGTCTCTAAAGATTTCGTCCAGCCGTTCTAAATCTATTTACCTAAGCACGAGACCCACTAACTTCAATCAAACTGTCTTGGAAGGAAAAACGTAAAGAAATGCACAGTAAAATGCATTCAGATATATTGCTTGCAACAGCTTCCTCCACCCCCAAAGACCGTGAAAGCTTTAAATGCCGATTTTCCAAATAATCGTGAAAGACAAGAAGAAAAGACCTTTGAAGAAGTGATGCAAACAGTCCGCGTCTTTCCTGCCTGGATTTGAGTTGGGAACCCAGAAGAAGTGAAAATATAGCCACGCAACCCGCTTCCCTTCCCCTAAACAGACATTAAGCCACGTCTTTAATGCAGAAATGTAGCCGTAGCGTCTCCGGCTGGCCGAGACTGTAGACGCTGCTTTCGTCCAGCTGGGGAACCAAAGAAAACGGACAAATTGCAAACCCGGTTATATTTAAGTGTTGCGCCTTCTTCTTTTAGAGATCTCTGGGAAATGTAGTCGTCTGACGATTCTTTTAGTAAGAGTTCAGTTGAAAAACTTCAGTTACGACTTCACATCTCTCTATAATTTTCTTTTTCCCCCACATAGCAACAGATACGTCTGATGGATCAAGATTGAGAGTTAAAGTGTATGCATTAAACTTCCCTAATAAATGCTTACAGCAAAGCAAAGCTCTGCCACTTCACATTTAAAATATTTGATAGTGCTTTTAAGGATGTCAGAAGTTCACAGAAAAAAATAAGCCTAATATTTAAAAAAATCTAACATCAATTAAGTGAACCCAGATCCACTGTGTAACAAATTGAAGTCCTACAAAAATGAGCCTGAAAACATATCCTCATTAGAAAAAGTTGTTGATCCTGCTATTCAGGCACCTTTTTCTAGTGATTTTTTTTTTACCAGCTCCAAAATACACTGCTCAAAAACATAAAGGGAACACTTAAACAACACAAATGCAGAGTTATGAATCTGGTGGTCTTAACATATATATATCCTGGTTGTACAGTTTTTAACTGTTATTGTTTTAATTTGTTTTACATTGTTATTTGTATATGTCTTTTGGTGTTGTTCACTTGTATGTTGTGGAAGAGCACCTTATTTCGTTGTTCTCAGGTTTCTGAGTACAATGACAATAAATTTATCTTATCTTATCTTATCAGTGTAACTCCAAGTCAATCACACTTCTGTGAAATCAAACTGGTAGCAACACTGAGGTAGCAAATTTCACATGCTGTTGTACAAATGGAATAGACAACAGGTGGAAAGCATAGGCAGTTAGGAAGACATCCCCAATAAAGGAGTGGTTCTGCAGGTGGTAACCACAGACCACTTTTCAGTTCTATGCTTTCTGGCTGATGGTTTGGTCACTTTTGAATGCTGGCGGTGCCTTCACTCTAGTGGTAGCATGAGACAGAATCTACAACCCACACAAGTGGTTCAGGTAGTACAGTTCATCCAGGATGGCACATCAATGCGAGCTGTGGCAAGAAGGTTTGCTGTGTCTGTCAGCGTAGTGTCCAGAGCATGGAGGCGCTACCAGGAGACAGGCCAGTACATCAGGAGACGTGGAGGAGGCCGTAGGAGGGCAACAACCCAGCATCAGGACCACTACCTCTGCCTTTGTGCAAGGAGGGACAGGAGGAGCACTGCCAAAGCCCTGCAAAATGACCTCCAGCAGGCCACAAATGTGCATGTGGCTGCTCAAATGGTCAGAAACAGAGTCCATGAGGGTGGTATGAGGGCCTGACGTCCACAGGTGGGGGTTGTGCTTACAGCCCAACACAGTGCAGGACTTTTGGCATTTGCCAGAGAACACCAAGATTGGCAAATTCTTCACTGACGCCCTGTGCTCTTCACAGATGAAAGCCAGTTCACACTGAGCACATGTGACAGACATGACAGGGTCTGGAGACACCGAGGAGAACATTCTGCTGCCTGCAACATCCTCCATGACCGGTTTGGTGGTGGGTCAGTAATGGTGTGGAGTGGCATTTCTTTAGGGGACCACACAGCCCTCCATGTACTCGCCAGAGGTAGCCTGACTGCCATTAGGTACCGAGATAAGATCCTCAGACCCCTTGTGAGACCATATGCTGATGCAGTTGGCCCTGGGTTCCTCCTAATGCAAGACAATGCTAGACCTCATGTGGCTGGAGTGTGTCTGCAAGACAAAGGCATTGATGCTATGGACTGGCCTGCCCATTCCCCAGACCTGAATCCAATTGAGCACATCTGGGACATCATGTCTCGCTCCATCCACCAACGCCAGGTTGCACCACAGACTGTCCAGTAGTTGGGGGATGCTTTAGTCCAGGTTTGGGAGGAGATCCCTCAGGAGACCATCCGCCACCTCATCAGGAGCATGCCCAGGCATTGTAGAGAGGTCATACAGGCACGTGGAGGCCACATACACTACTGAGCCTCATTTTGACTTGTTTTAAGGACATTACATCAAAGTAGTGATTTTTTCCACTTTAATTTTGGGTGTAACTCCAAATCCAGACCTCCATGGGTTGCTAAATTTGATTTCCATGGATACTTTTTGTGTGATTTTGTTGTCAGCACATTGAACGATGTAACAAACAAAGTATTTCATAAGAATATTTCATTCATTCAGATTTAGGATGTCTTATTTTTGTGTTCCCTTTATTTTTTTGAGCAGTGTATATCCTCACCTCTAACATTTAGGCCATTGAACATTTAAAATCCCCTGGGTGACATTGAGAAAATCGTGTTCTTGTTTTTTGTAACCAAACCTGTCTCACAGGGTTATTGTGGCGGGGAAAATTAGGGAGTGAAGGCAAGAATGTGTCCCAGGCTCATGTTGCGGGATCCAATCTGGGTCATTTACTGGGGTTTAGTCTTCCGAGTTTTTGGATTCGTGCTGGAGCCCATCCCCAGGAAACTTCTAACGAATGTACCTAGCATAAATAAGTTCCATGAGGATGGGCTCTAGTACAAATCCAAAAACTCGGAAAACTAAACATCTGATCCCGGGAACCGATCCAGATTGGATCCTGCAAAAATAGGGAATGCTGTGTATGCAGCATGCAGCTCCTGAACAAATATAGGCTATATATAAAATAAATAAACGCAGCCATCTTACACCAGACAGCTAGTAGACCATTCTTCCCTCCTGCCTCATGTTTTACATTGCTTTTTTAAACATCTACATGGGCGCGCACGCACACACACAAAATCCTTTCGGTCACTATGCCTCTCCATGGACTTTAGGGACGATTCCCTCCCAAGAAATTGAAGCAAAAGATACCCATGGCTCTAAATGTTCTTCCAAAATAGGATGCCCCCCCCCTCCTCCCATCCCCCACTTCTGAGGCAAGGATAACTTGTGGCCTTCTGGATTTCACAAAAATTTGGTCTTCGGAGGATTTGGGGTTTGTATGCTGTAGAGCTCCTTTTGCCAGGAATATCAATTGCAGCTTTTGTATTGAATTTCTGTCATTACACGTTAATAAATTACTGTATTGGCTGCAAATACTGCTCTTCAGCTCTGCATAGAATTGCCTTGGCTAAAGCTGTTTATAGTTTTGTGAACAAATAATTCTCCGATGAGCAGAACACGGTGCACAAATAAAACACAGACACTTAGGTTTAGAGGAACAGAGAGGAACCTTGTAGGAGCAGACCACCTCTGCATTTATTTGCAAAACGCCCAAGCAGTTCTTGAAATTCTTAAAAAATAGAATGCCATTTCCAAGACCGGGCATTGGAACTGCTTCATGACTGCTGCCAGCAGCCAGTGATTGAGGATCCTGTGCTAAATCTGCAAAACGCTAGAAGAGAAATCACTAAAACCCGAGGCAAGTTGAAGAGCCTCTTCAGGAAAGGCTAAAAGGAAAGAGAAAGCAACGGAGCCAAGTTCTTCAGGATCCAGGGGAAAGAATCCAACTTTATCCAAAAGAAAATCCGTGAATTGCCTCAGGAAGGGCCCCCAGCAGGGAGAAGGGGGCGGGGTACTTTGAGGATAAGGGATCCATTTGATCAAAGGACCTCAGGAGTACCTTAGATGGCTTATCAAGGGATCCCCAGACCGGAGCCAATGAAAAAGCTGGAACAAGTCCTGGTGGGTCTAAGGCTGGTCTTGAAAAGATAAACCACAAGACACACCCACACCCACCCACCCCTACTCCACCCCGGGAATCCATGGAGGGGTTAGGGAAGTTAGGGAAACCGGGGCCAGCTGCTCAGCTGATGTAGATCCGGTGGAAGTCATTGGCACCAAAGGCGGCATTGCACTTGGGGCATTTCCGCTGGCGGGTGTCATAGCGGGTCTTGACGCAGTCGAAGCAGAAGACGTGGAAGCATTTGGTGAGGACAGCGTCCTTCTTACGTGTGTTGCAGCATGGACAGGTGAGCTTGGCCTGGGGATGTGGAACAGACCGGAGGGGGTGAGGGGCTGGGCCATTATTGGGGAGAGCTGCCTTTCCTTTACAGGAGGCTTGTAAAGCCTCTCCTCCTCCTCCTCCTCCTCCTCCTGCCCTTCTCACCTTGTACTCCTTGATCTCCTCCTGTAGGATCTCATCGGCATCTGCGTACACCTCCACTTTGCGCTGCTTTTCCAGTTTGCGCCGAAGGCGAGATATGTCCTCCTGGGAAGAAGGGCGGGCACATCAATGAGTCTGGAGAGGGAGGGGGGGAGGGAGGGAGGTTCCCTTTCTTGGTTTGCTCATTTGCTTATTAAATTTATATGCTGGCCATCTCAATCAAGCGACTGGATGGCATAAAACAAGGATAAATAAACATTACTACATTTGAAAAGCATTAAAAGCATTTGAGACTAACAAGCAATTGGGAACCTGGGTAAACTGGGAACCTGAAGATGAATGGATAGGGGTGCGATGTTAACCCACTAACGAGCTCCAGCGTGGAAACCCCTCCCCCTCCCCGATGCATGATGAACCACGGCCGCCTCCTCGGGAGCATCTCCCCAAAGCCAGGAGATCCGACGGCCTTTCCCCCCTTTCCCCCCTTGTACCTGAGCTCTCTTGAGGTTGAACGACTCCCTCTCCTTGGCTGCCCTGTTCTCCGCCATGAAGGTCTGGATCTCCTTCAGTTTGGCCTGCACGTGCTCCAGCTGCACTTTCAGGTCTTCTGCTAGCTGGGCCGCCTCCACCGCCTGCAGGCAGAACGTGGCATCCAAATCCAATTCCGCACCAACATCGAAAGGATGTTTCCCCCGCACCACTACCACAATCATCCTGGTTGTGAAGGCTCCCCGTGAGACCCCATCAAGGCCCACACTCGCTTCCTAACTTGGCAGCCCCCAGACCGGCTCCTCACCTTCCTCTTGTTGAGCTCCAGAGCCTGGCTGCGTAAAGTGAGCTCTTTCTCCACAGTGCCCAGGTTGCCCTGCAAGACTCGTTCCTTCTCCTCCAGCTTCTGCACAACTAAGAGCTGGGTGTCCACCTGAGGAAAGCAACCCGAGCCGCAAGGGTCAGCACGTATTCCAGGAGCCACCTGCATTTGGTGGCCCCTTCCTTCAAAGCTCTGATCCTCTCAACCTGTTGGTGGTAAGGTGGCTGCCTACCTGAGACTTGAGGGCCAGCACCTGCTCGGCCAGTTCTTCCTTCTCCTCCCGCAGGAGCTTGTGAATCTGGTTGGATTTGATGCGCTCCGACATCAGCTTGAAGTTGGCGTCATCTTTCTCCCGCAGCTGCTGGTTTAGCCGCATGTTCTGCTCTTGCATGTCCTCGAAAGCTTGGCCTGTCACATCCATCTCCGAGAGAAGAGCCTCTTCCTCCTGACCCACAGGAAAAAATACCGGAATGAATTGGAATTTCCCCAGCCTAATAACCTCATAACCACATTTTGTCTTTCTCATGCTAGAATGTGTAGTGGACTTTTGGGCTGATCTGTTTCTTGCAGACGCTAACCACTAGACCCTGAGCCTCATCTCTATGAGGGTGGTCCTTCACAGCAACCAGTGAACCAAGTCAACAGTGAGTTTGTCATTATGGAAAAGTCGCAACCACCCTCCAAGCCACTCTAGGCTCTCTCCTCCTGCACTGGGGCATTGCTTCTGGCACCACAAGCTCCTCCCAGGAAGAAATACCTGCTTGGTGGCTGCCAGTTTTTTCTGCAGGTGTTCAATTTGTTCCTCGGCCATCTTGATCTTGCGTAAGGCATCCTCATCAGCCATTTTCTTACTCTCTTTTTTCTCTTTCTCCTCCAGATCACGGATCCTCACCCGCAGCTCCTCCACCTGCCCAAAAAAATGAGTCAAAGAAAGCAGGAGTAACTCCTCTGCTTGAGACCTCACCACAGGGAAGAAACCTTCCAAGTATACCTGCAGGTCAAACTAACAAGCCCGATTACAAATGCCGTAAAGTTATTTATCTAAAGCACAGCCAGCCCTTCTTTGGGGGACAGGTTCTTCCCTAAGTCAAAATGTCTTGCCCAGGACCAGATCCTGAAACATACGATGGAACGGAAGTGCATGAAACTTGTTGGCCTCTAATGGGGCTGAGCTTAGCAGACCCAGGCACTGGAGCGAAACACGAGTCTGGGTCTCCCATGATAAAGAGGAGGCAGAAAAACCGGAACTTTGGGAAGACTCATCTCTCCGGATAGGCCCCACCCTCATCTCACCTCAGCTTTGGTCTTCTTCTCAGCTGCCATCAGCTGCACTTTGTCCCGCTGCTCCTTGGGGGCCGACTTGTACATGTCCAAGAGAAGCTTCATCTCCTTCTGGCTCTCCTGAGCCTTTCTGAGAAAGGAAATGGAATCCGTATGAAGAAGAGGCTCCCGAGAAATGGACCGCCACGTCCCCAGGATAGCAAATTCTGGGTTTTCCTTGGGTCTATCAAAGGCTACGTATTGCAAGAAGAAGGGGATCTCTTATGAAATTGCAGCACAAAACCAATTATTATCGCCTTCTGTAGAGGGCAAGGAAGAAACAGGGAACTCTTAAGGATCTAAAGGATCTGAAGCATTTTGTGAAGCCCGGAACAGTGAGATAACTTTCAGAAGGAGCTTTGGAAGACACCTCCTAATCCAAGAGAGAAGTAGTATAACAGTATAACAAGAGTTGGAAGGGATCTTGAAGGTCTTCTAGCCCATCCCCTGCTCAAACAGGAGACCCTATAACATGCTGACGAATCTCTTTTTAAAAACTTCCAGCAATGGAGCACCCACAACTTCTGCAAAAGGCACAAGCAGACCTGCAGGACGCTGCTACTTACAGCCAACCTCAACAGAAACAGTTCCAGCAGCCTTCCCGTGGAGATGGTTTCCTGGTCTGCTCTACCTATTGGAACCGACACTTCTTGACGTATTTTTTCCCCTTTGCTGGTAGCCTCCTTTCTGGGCCAACCATCAAAGAATGCTAGTTGAGTCTCTAGGTTTCCACTCACAACATTCACACTATCCAGACAGGTTGTTCTTATATAGCAGGCCTACCCCTGCCTCTGCTACGCCAGCACCCCAGTTCTCCCCTAGTTTGGGTACGCAGAAGCTCTCAGGATTGGCAGAGATCATCCTTCCCAGGTGAGTAAGACTTTCCCCCTTCTCAATCTACAGTGCAACCCGAACAAACACCGCACACTCCCACCTCGTCTACGTTCCACGTACTATTCACAACCTGGTTCCAAAAACGAAACGAGACCCGACCCCACTCAACGCCTCCACCCGCCCCTCCCTTTTCTGAAGGCTCACTTGAGCTCAGTTCGCAGCTGCTTGAGCAGATCTGAATCTTTCTTCTTAGCATCTTCACTACCTCCACCACCTTTCTGCTTCTCCCGATCCCGTGAAGAGGAAGAGGAGGAGGAGGAGGAGGAAGAGACCTCCTTGTCACGATCCCGGGACCTCTCGCGGTCAACGCCCCGGTCTCCACCACGTCCCTTGGACCGCTCAGACTCTTTGGCGCGGGGTGGTGGCGGCGGATGGGGAGCGGGAGGCTGGGGGACAGAGGTCTCCTCCTCTTCTTTTTTCACTCCCTCTGTGCTCCCGAGCAGCTGAGGAGACACCACTTCTTCCTTGGGCTCTTTCTTTACTTGCACCTCCTTGAATTCTTTCTTTATTTCGGAGGACACCGTTTCTTCCTCCTCTTTAACAGGAGCTGCCCCAGGGTGGCCCTGGGGTCCACCGGAGTCTTCGTTCCCTGGGGCTGGGGCTGCAGTGGACAAACCAGAAAGAAACCCACTCTGTTGCATGCGAACCTGAAAAAAAGAACAAGCCAACAGGGCACTTTAGAACAAGGTGGCAGCCAAGCCTGCACACCAGGAGTGGGCAATACATTTTCCCACGTAGGCACATGAGAAACTGGGGTTGTTGGGGTGGGCCGCTGTCCCTGCCGCCAACATCCTGTTACACATCCCTGCCTGGACAAAGACACTCAAGGGGCCACATCTGGCCCACAGGCCTGCTCTACACACACACACACGATTTCCTCTTCCACAACCTGAGAGGAACAGGAAACATGAGCTGAGGTGATCACCATGGTTGACAGGAAACTGCTATAACACAACTTAGGCCCAGGATAAAGCCTGCTAGATTTTAGATTCATAGTGAAGAGCCACTTTTGAGCAGTGATTTCTTCTTCAATGAAATTTTTTTAAAAAAATATCAAGATGACCTGCCAGTCCCTGAAGCAGAACTGTGTCCTTCCCAAATCCAAACCAGGCAGGAGAGAAGGGGGTGAAAGCCCATCCATCGACCTGATGCCCGGCCTCCCCGCTTCAGCCATTCCCTCGGCAGACCCACCTTGTTGATCTCGGCCTGCACCTCCCTCAGCTTGCGCTTGTACCGTTGAACGTCTCCCTTCAGCTGGTGGTTGTGATTCTGGAGGCTGCTGATGAGGTGGCGCATCTCCCGATTGATGGGACCTCGTATGTGAGAGGGGAGGCAGAGGGAGTAAGAACAAGTGTTCGAGCTCTCCAGAGTGCCCAGCATCTCTCCTCCTCCTCATCTCTTATTCAGATCACCATCTTTCACTCGGGGGCTCAAGGCAGCATACATAATGCTCCCTTCTCTTATCTTTTCCCACAACGACTGCCCTGTCAGGCAGACCGAGCCCAGATTCTCCCGGGGAGTTTCTGGGGATGAGGGAGGCCCCCTAGATCCCGAGTTTCTGCCTCCTGGTCCAACATCTGAACCACCTCACTGCACCAGCTCTAAAGCACCGAATTTCCAAAATTCAACAACAACAAAAAATAATTTATTTTAAAAAGACTATTGGGAGTTCCAGCCCGACATTTCTTCACTGAAAGAGTATCTATATCACTTCTCCTTAGACAAAAATCTCAGAGCAGTGTAGTATAACCAGAGAGAGCTTTCAGAGTTTAAACAGTTAAAAAGGACTAAAATCATTTTTTTAAAAAACCAACAAAATAGAAGAATGATTTAAAAGTGAGTCCACACAGAAGATAACTGGAGCCTTTCCACCAACCTGAGCATGGCAGGGAGAGATTAGCTTTCTTGGCGGGAGGAAAAAGATCAGGAAGTAGAATTCAGAAAGAAACTAGCAACACCAGAGACACCAGTTGGCGCCCTCTCCTTGGAGCCAAGAAACAAAGTAAGAGGGGAAAGGCTGTCTCCTGGCAATGGGCTTCAACGCGACTGGTTCCCAGGGCAGGGAAACCAGGGAATATTGGGCTCCTCAAGGAGGAAGCAGAGGCTCACCTGCTTGTTCGTTGGCTGCCAGGTTCTGCTCAAATTCAATGCGCAGCATCTCGTACTCCTTGCGCACCTGAGCCAGGGTGTCCTCCAGCTGGATCACCTCCGTCCGCAGCTTCTTCTGCACGTTCAACTCGTCGCTCTGTCATCAAGAAGAAGGAAGCCACATCAGCCCCCAGGAGCCAAAGGACACAGCCAAGAGGCCCTGCTCTGCAGTCCATCAAAGCCAGGACGGTCTAACCATGACGGCGGCAACCCATGACTTGAGACCAGGAGAGGGGCTGGAGAGCTCACCTCCATGTGCTCAATGTGACGCAGGTGGCTGTTCTTGGTGGTGAGAAGCAGGGCCCGGGCCTCATCCAGCTGTGTTTTCACCTGCAGGCTTTCGTTGTACAGCAGTGAGAACTGGGACTGCAACACCTTGTACTCCAGAGTCTCCTTTACAGCCTCTTCTGGAAGACTCCGTAGTGCCACCTACAAGCCAGGGGTATAGAAGGAAAGAAAGCCAGGTGCTTTCTTTTTCAAAAATAACCTTGGACATTTTATCCATAGACCAAACGGGAAGAGGGGTGGGGGGATAGCATTCCTTTGCCCTGACCCAAACAGCAATATCTCCAATAATATATTAATATCAAGTAATAGAATCAATCCAAGACCTGAGGCTAGCTACCTGATCTTTGAAACATTGCTTACAAACTAAAGCAGTTTCTTTAGTTTGCTTCTCAACCTTGGCTGCTTTTAAGATGTGTGGACTTCAACTCCCAAAATGCCACAGCCAACATAGGGTGGTATAGATTTGAGATTTCCAGAAAAGAGTGGCCTCACTCAGAAATGTTTTTATCAGTGACGGCAGTCTAACAGCCATCACAAAGACTAAGTGCACCAGGATTAATAAGATTAAAAGAAGAATAGATTTTGAGATTTCTAGTTCTGTCTTTAAAGCAAGGTTGGGTAAACTGCAATACAAACTTATTTTATGCAACTCCTGTAGGTCCCTTAATTCACATAGGTAAATGCTGGTGGCATTTAGAGCAGTGCGATCCACTACTACTACTACAGGTAGTTCTCATCTAATGACCACAACTGTGACAGGAATTTATGTTGCTAAGCAAGGTTGTTAAACGAATTATGCCTGATTTTATGATTTTCTGCCACAGTTGTTAAGTGAATCACACAGTCGTTCAGTGAATCCAGTTTCCCCCATTGACTTTGCTTGTTGGAAGCTTCCTGGGAAGACGATCATGTCAACGTGCAATGCTGCAACCATATAAATATGTGCTTGTTGCCAAATGCCTGAACTGACATCATGTGATTGTGGGGATATTGCGACAGTCATAACTATAAGGACCGAGTATAAGTCACCTTTTCAACATTATCATAAATTCGAACGGCTGTTAAACAAGCAGTCATAAGCCTACTTGTACTTAAAACAGGCACAAAATTGTGTCTGATGGGTTAATCCACGGATTTTAACGGGGGGAAAAAAAGCTGACTCAATTCCAAATATTGCATGAACAGCAATAAAAAATAAATCTGAATTCAAGCCTTTGATGTCACCAAACGTTTCCTGCCACTCTCCGTAGTCAGTATATATATATATTTTAAAGTACCGGTAATTAAGGGCTGTATTCTTTCCAGCTTATCACCACAGGGTGGTTGTATTTGACACCTATTCAAATACCTTCAGCTTCTCATTGGTTCTAACAGCCTGCTGCATTTCCTGCTGCAGCTTCTCCAGCTCTGCCATGCGACTGTTGGCAAGTTCTTGATTCTCTTCCAACTCTGCATTCAACATCTCAAACTGCAAAGCAAGCCGAAATTAAGTCAGCAGAAAGTGCTGCACAGGAAGTGTTGCGAGACTCAACTCTTGCAAGCTGCAGAGCTACAATTTACTTTCCAGTCATGTTTTCCGGCTTACCTTCTGCATGCTAAGCGTGATCTGGCCACCCTGAAACCCACCAGAACTGCCTGAGGCATAGTAACCTGAATTCAGCTGCCAAAAAAAAAAAAGTGAAAAATCAATAACCTTTAAAACCAAACGGCAAATGTGTAAATGTACACACACAAACACACTGGTGTGAACAAAAAGTTTCACAAGACATCTGGACTTGCATAACACTGAAAGATGAATCTGGTACGCACAGAATATTTTCTGAGCTTATGTATATAAATGGACCTCCACAAAGTTAGTCACAGTTCTGGATTTCCATAGGTTCTGCTTGCAATAGTAGAAGATCTACTGATTTTATTTATCAAATGTACGGGCTATCAAATTTCAAGCTCCACATTAATTTTAGAAGAGTTTTAACTAAAGAAAATAATTTATCTAGTTTTGTTCCCATTTGGAAACCCCTTCTGGACTTGGTACTCGAAACACAAACTGTAATTTTAGGTTTTGATGATTGCAATGATTTTGTGACAAGCTTTTTGAAAAACGTATTGCTAAATTGTGTTATTATAGATATGATTTGAAATGTTAAGAAATATAAAGCAAAAGCTTTAGGTTGTTTTTTTTATATTCTACTGCATTGAAAAAAGTCACTACTTTTCTTTAAATCTTTTCTTGCATCTTTTTCCAATTTTAATTTTTGCATTTGTATTTCAATTTACAATAAACTTTAATAAAAAAAAATCTAAAAAATTTCAAGACTCACAAAAGCTTTCAACATACTAAGATATAATAAAAATTCAGCATTAATATATTTTTGAATTACAATTTAAGATGTTTTCAAATTGTACTGTTAAAAGTGCCAATACTTAACTGTATCAATAATTATACTATTTAGCCTATCAAATATAGATATCTGTGAGTTTGATTAATCAAATCATTGTCAAATTTGTTTAATACCCTATATTCTAACTGTGTACAGGAGAAAATAAACCCTTGCTGAAAAAGAAGGAGAGTACAGATAGTCCTTGACTTACAACCAGTTTAGTGACTGTTCAAAATTACAACGGCAATGAAAAAAGTGACTTTATAACTGTTTTTCACACTTAAGTCCATTGCAGCATTCCGATGGTCACATGATCAAAATCTGGACAGTTGGCAACCGGCATATATTTATGACGGTTGCTGTATCTCAGGGTCACCTTTTGCATCCTTCCGACAAGCAAAATCAAAGGGGAAGCCAGATTCACTTAACAACCATGTTACTAATTTAACAACTGTAGTGATTCACTTAACATCTGTAGCAAAAAGGATATAAAATGGAATAGAACTTACTTAACAACTGTCTTGCTTAGCAATGGAAATGTTGGGCTCAACTCTGGTTGTAGGTCAGGGACTAGCTGTAGTTCTTGCCATATCAGGTTGATCTGACCCTTTTGTTACAAAATTTTCACCAGACCTATCCTCAAAGCTTTCCCAGACCCAAGAAATGGCATCTTTGGCTTTAAGAGGGTGTTGGCTCCATGAGATCAGAAGAGACCTCTTCTCTACTGAGCGAACGGATCCATCTTTCCCAAGGGGTAAATGAGCTGATATGAGGGAAAGGAGCAATTCATAATTGAACATCAGGAATTATCTTGGCACTGCTGATTTGAATCTTCTTTCGCCTCACAGCATACATCATTTTTGCTCCTTAAGGTGCATGGATTGATGTAGGACCAAAGTGGGAAGTATGTTGTTTATCCAAATCTGAACTGTAATTGTCAGAGTTCCTCCTCCTCTTCAGCATTCCTAACTGCGATGACTGAAAGGGAAGGGAATCGCAGCTCGGTAAGATTTGAAGAGCTACAGCTTTCTGAAATAGTCTCCTGAAACCCACCTGACCTCCTCCCGCTCAGAGAGCGTGGCCAAGGGGCGGAGGCTTCAGGATAAGCTCCTCCCGCTTCACTTACTATCTGGGTATCCTTCAAAATGGAGAGCCAGCCAAGGACTTCCTGCCCTTTAAAACCAGGCGTTCAGAAGGATGTCCCTCCCTCACCTAGCAGTTATAATTCAGTGGAAACAGGCAGTCTCCCCCAGCGAGGAGGGAGGGGAGGGGACCCCCATGAAGGCCATTCTTGCCTGCTCCAAAGCTTCGGCCAGGTGCTTGTTGATCTTCTGCTCCCGTTTGCGCAGCTTCTCTATGTCCCACTGTAGGTCTTCAATGGTCGTTTCCATTTCCAGCACTTTGGTTTCTGAGGAAGTCACTTTGTCCTGCAGTTCTGTGTACTGAAAAAGAAGCCAGTCTCAGAACAGCTCCTGCCCCGAGAAGCCACAAGAGGGAAGGCGGAGCAGGGAACCTACCTCCAAGGATATTTTATGGTGTTTCTCCTGCATCTGTGTGATCAGGTCCTGAAGGTGTCGATTCTCTCTTGTCAGCTCCTTGTTGAGGGCCTTCACGACTTCTTCCAGTTGATCAAACTCCACTGCAGAATAAGACATTAATTCTCAGAACTTGGGCTTCCCAATTTTTACTCTCCTCCAAACTGCATTGGAGATTAATGGCTATTGGCTTTGGTGGCAGCAGGACAGATTCTGAAGGCTTCTGCTGGGAGACTAATGGCCTTCCCTGTGTATTGACTGACCACTGGGAGGACAGACTGCTGGATTAATTGAGTCAGCAGGTTCTCACATACATGTGCTTTGCTTTTCCCCAGAAATCTTTTTTGTGATGTTACTTTGCTTTGAGTCACAAGTTTAAGCAACAAAACACCAAGGTAAGAATATCGCACCTGGATTGAGTTAAAAAAATTCTCTCCAGAGGCAAAATCATTTTCATCAATCTTCCTCTGGAAATACACAGTCACAGAACAGCTTCCTTACTGTCAGGTAACAAAAAAGTTGTTTAAGAAGCATATTTTAAAAAGCCTGTTTCTCCCCCCCAAATATAAAGCACATCACCTGTCAGAATATAAGAAATCCTCTGCTGCCAGATCGTTCAGCTTTGACTGAACAAAAATCTGAATTATTAAGTATTTAGAAAATGTTTAATGAGGGACTTCCATTTTGAGCTTCTTCGCCGACAGACCGAAACTGCGATCGTACGCAGTTTCGATCCTTGCTCGCCGCCAGAGCGCCCCGAGCCGGCTGGCTTCGTGGCTAAGCCATCCCATAGAGGTGGTGAGGAGGGGGGAGACTGCCAGCAGGGTTGAGGAGAGCCACATCTCTCCTCCTCAGCTGGCCATTACTCCCTTTCCCGAAGGCGGTTGCAGTGGTGGTCAGAAATGGCCACCTCAAAGAAGAACTCAACTGGAAAAGAATGTGCAAGAGGAAGATAAGAAGTGAAAATCTTGGTTGACGGGGTTAAATTGCAAAATCAACAACGCAATGTACCCTGGCATTTAAACTATAAAAAAATAACATTGTTCCCAAAGAAGATTTTGAAGCAGCGAAGGAGAGAGAAAAGGGAAAGGATTTGGTTTGTTTTTTCTCTTCCCTTCTATATACTGACAGCTAAGAGACTTAAGCAAGAAATTGGAAAAAAATCCACTTTGACATCAACAGGCATTTAAGCTGAAAATAAAATGTCAAAGGGATAATAAAGATTTATTAAAAGCTTTTAAAAGCAGGAAAGGAGAGAAAAAGAATAAAAGGGCAGGACCTGGAAAAATGGAGGAGACTGCCTGGAACTAAAACCTCAACAAGATTTCTAAAAGATACATTTTAACTGAAACTTGGCAACAAAATAGTAGAACCCCTGGAAGAGAAAATTGAAAAAAGAAGCAAGAAACATTTTGGGATTATTTGGATTACTTGGTAATCTCTGGATTTTTGGTTACTGCATTTAAATGACTAAAATCAATCGGGTGGTTGTTTAAAAGTGTTTAAAATGGCACCACTTTTAGAAGAACTGAAAATGGAACTTAAAAAGTACAAAGAAGATGCACAAGAAGGGAGAGATTTTTTTGGCTTCGTATTTCAACTCTTAGAAATGGAGATCTGGAACTATGAGAAAGAACAAGAAACCCTTGCAGAACAAAAAGATTGGGACAAAGAAGAAGCCATCTTTAATGATCAAGTAATTTTATGGGGGGGGGGCGGAAGGAAAGGGGGGAAAGAGAATCAAAAGTTTAAGATTTGAAAAAAACAACCAAAAAAAGAATAGTTTGAAAAATAAGTATAATATTAGAAAGCAACAGAAGAGGGGATTACAGAAGAGAGAATCAGAAGTAGAGAGACGAGGGGGTAAAAAGGGGAGGGAGAAGAAGGGAAGAAGGAAAGGAAAAGAAGTTATAAAGGACAGAAACAAGATATAGAGAAACAGGGCAAAGGTATGAGAATTGAAAGTAGTATAAGCCTGTTTAGAGATAATGGGAGAAAACTTAATTATAAAAGGGATTCTGCAAAAGTACATAAGATAGTATTGTTATATTACAAATAGAAATAATCTTTGAAAATATGCTTAAAATGATGGATAAAATATTTATTGTAATCTAGTGGAATGCTTGTTAATAAATAAATGAAATAAAGTGAATGAGAGAATTAGGAAAGGATGGGAACATTTTAATTATGATTAATGATTTATAAAATAAAAGTGAAGAGAAATATGGAAAAAAATTAATTATGGAAAGTTTATAAGTGTTCCCAAGGAAGTATGATATTTAATTGAAAAGAAATGTTAAAGATGTTAAGATGTTAATGAATATTAATGATAGAATTAAATTGGAATGGAATGGAATGAGTGTTTTATTTACATATATATATATATAAATAATCTTTTTTTAAGAATATTGTGTTTATTTTAAGAATGTACCAAACAGAATTCGATTGGAAGTTATGCATTATATTGAATGTTATAATCTTAAAGGTATACATTGAAGCTTAAATAAGAGTTGAATGGATAAAATTAAAAGAGATAAAGGCATCATACTCCAATTAGTAACTACAGGAGAAAATTTGTTTAATGAGAAAAGATAATATGAAATTGAAACAGGAAAGACAAAAGTATAAATATAATGATTTGAACTGAGATGAGATAATCAAAATAAAGTTGAGAAAATTAAAAGAGGGGAAAAACTATGTAGAAAATGTAAAACAGTGATAAGATATGGAATAGAACCCAAGAATGAACATGAAATTGAATTTGTGTCTGTATGAAGAAGTGTAACCTGGGATCATGCTATTTTCCAAAAAAAGATGTTTTATTTGTATTATGGGGTTTTTTTGTGAAAACCCAAATAAAATTTTCAAAAAAAGAAAAGAAAATGTTTAATGCACATTTCAAAGTGGTATTTTTATAAGGCGAGAATACCCTAAAAGTTATTAAATACAACTTGGTTAAAGAGTGACACACACTACATCTGAACGTGTTCATAATAGGTTCACTTTGGAAATTCTGGTAAGCCATGTCTTCTACCTGGAACCAATGTACTCTCCGTTTTTTCGAAGTATGCACACATCCTCACACAATACTCTGGTGGACTCTACAAATGTTTTCTGTCTGTTACATATGTTGACAGCAGCAAGATTACTTTATGCACAAAAATGGAAGGACGCTTTGATTCCCATATTGGATGAACAGCTGCAAAAGCTAATGGAGTTAGCAGAGATGGCTAAATTGACTGTTTTGATTAAAGAAAAAAAAAACCACACTACTTTTGTTTTTACTTGGAAACCGCTTCTAGACTTTGTGCTTGAAGTGGAAAAAAATGAAACTTTAATTCTGCGTTTTGCCAATTAGATAAGTTTGTTATAGAAATGTTATAGAACATTTTGCTTGTTCTGTAATATTTGTTATAGAAATGTTATAGGAACGGCTAGTTTATACTATTATATAAAAGTAAAAAGTTAAAGTTTGATTACTGCACCAAAGGGAGTTTTTCCTTTCTCCCCGCCCCCCCTTTTCCTACACTTTTCACTTCCCTTTTCACTTCCCTTTTCTTTCCTATTATTTTCTTTTGTATTTTTGTATTTTGTATTATAAACTAATTAAAAAAAAAATTTAAAGTCTGAGAGGGGATAGAAAAAATGCACTTCTAAACCAATTCTCCTCCTCGCAACCAAGTCCACAGTAAATTACCCACCCAGAATGACAACATGCATTCCACTCTCCCCCCATTTCCCTTGCTGAGTTTTTAAAAATCCGAGGCCCCAAATCCTCCATTTGGGGAGCAAGTTCAGAGGCAGAATTGACAGCAAGAGGCTAAGCGTGCATTCAGAAAGTTTCGAAGGTGTCCCTTAGATGGGATCTACTCTCACCCCGTGCATGGATCTTCTGGCAAAGCTCCTCTATGCGCCGGTGGATCTTATCCGAAGCCTCCACCATGCGGGAGACGGCAGCTTTGGAGAATTCCATGCTTTCTTGAAGTTGAAGCTCAATCTCTTCATTGCTGCTGCTGGCCAAGGTAGCCAAGAAGGAAAGGGATGGCTCGTTCAGCACAAGGTCCCCAGCCTTCCAGGGCGCAGGGGGAGTAATAGGGGACAGCACGGCCTCTGAGTGGACCAAAAGAAAAGGGAAGAAGGTCAGGATTGTTGGCAGGAAGGCAGAACCTTTGATCCACTCCTATCATGCTTGGTGCAATGACTAAGGTGCTGAGCTAGAAAAGAAGAGATAGTGAGCTCTGGTCCTCTCTTAGGCGTGATTTTTGGGCCAGTCAACTCTTCCTCAGCCCAACCCACCTTCCAGGGTTTGTGGCTGTAGGGAAATCAAGAGAAGGGAGAATCAGAGGTGTGCACTGCCTGGAATTGATCAAAAATAAAGGCAAGGTAAAACATCTAATAAGTAAATTGATGTTCCAGAATGCTGGGACCTGGGCTTACCTCTCCTTTCAGAATTCTCTAAGAGAACAGCTTCCAATTCTGAGCCTGGGATTTCCAATTTGGGTTCCTCCGGGGCCTGCCCACAATCTCCATCATAACGTCTTAGGAGCACCTGCACCGTCTCGTCTAGCTGTAAGAGGGAGGGGGAGGAAAGGGGGAAAAACACACTGGAACTGAAAAAAACAGAAATGACTAAGAGAATTTTAAAGGCATGTAAAGAGAGGTGGGCACATAGGAGGAAAGCAACTTCTACATGCAATATGAATTACAGGTAGTCCTTTCCTTATGACTAATCAAAAGATACTTATGACCCAGTTCCAAAGTTCTAACAGCTGCCTCCCCCCCAATCACCTGACATTTCGGGTACTTGGCAACAAGCTCACGTTTATAGTGTCTTGCACTCCCATGGTTCACATTTTAGGCAAAAAAAAATCCCCCATTGCAAACAATGGGCTTAATAACTGCAGTATTTGCTTAACAAACGAGGATTCATTTAATGACCATGGCCATTCATTTAACAACCACAGCAAAAAAAGGTCATAAAATCAGGTTGGTTACGTGGTGAGCCACTTTACAACTGTGATGCACACACTCAATTGCAGCTGTAAGTTGAGGACTACTTATATGGTAGTATTTTCTATTCTGATTCTGCTAGCACAGAGAAAAGTTACGGACTCACAACAGCAGCTTTCTTTTCGCCCTTACACAACCTTCTAAATTAACCTTTAAGATTCCCCCGGTATGTTAATTTAAGGATTAGAAGTGAAAGGAGCAAGATGAGATCAGCCTGGAAGGCTCCCTGACCTGCTTCCAGTAGCGGTTGACAATCAAGAGAGTGGCATCATCAGTGGCCTGCCTTTTCTCCAGCTTCTCTATGCGCTCACGCAGCTCATCCTCAAAAACTTGCCGCTGCTCCAGTCGTTCTGCTATCTTCTTATTCTTGAACTGAAGCACCTTGAGGTCCATCTCCTCCTGCAAACGCAGCCACCCCAAGTCACATCCAATAATTAAATCCTAAGAAACAAGTCTACATTCCAATAATTGAACCCACAAATCTGTATCTCTGTAATTCCCCTTATCCCTAGCCAATGGCCTTGCCAGCAGGAAATTATGGCCACTGCTGTCCAAGAGATCTAGAGAGCACCAGACTAGGATGAATACCGAGCATATTATATCATGATGAAATCCAAATCTTCCACACAATAAGAGAGATTCCTGTCTCCATGTCTTCTTTTTCCTCATTTGCTTTCCCATCATCTTAGCAATACATTGATAACAAATACATGAACCAATCTCTTCTGCTCCTTAAAAATAAATGATTGACAAAACAAGACTTTAACATACTTGAGATAGAATAAACATGATCCACTCCCATCCACCATTTTTAATGAACCTTTCACAGCATAAGATCTAAGGCTTGATCTGGTTCATAAGCAGAGTCTTAAGTCTACTTGGTTCAGAAGGTAGGTCAAAATTTTGTATCTCAATTATTAAAAGGAAAGAGAGAGAGAGAAAGAGAAAGGGAAAGAGGGGATTTTTCTGCTCTCCCTCTCTCCCTCTCTCTCTCTCTCTCTCTCTTGTGTGTGTGTGTGTGTGTGTGTGTGTGTGTGTGTGTGTGTGTGTGTGTGTTCACTAAGCAAGGATTTTTCAAAATGACCATCACAGCATTAGTATTTTGTATATTATTATTAACACACTCTGATGCTAAGGAGTTCTACTCCCCCTCCCCGCCTGAAAAGAAATCTGTTCCAAATGCAAAACACAAGCAGAGGAGAGCAGTTTCCATTTCAGTTTTACAGCACCAAGCAGCTTTAGTACAGAACAGTTGAGCTAAGCCAAGCCCAGGGTCCTTCCTGTCTCCTTCTTGCTCACACGGCAAATACTGTTTCAGTTTCCAAACATCCCTCAACTCTCTCACACACACTGACAGGACACTAGCCAGATGAATACTGATGGATGCTGGTAGGCAGAGGCAGAATTTTTTCCCCTTATTTTCCTCCCCCCAAACTAAGCCCAACCACATGGTTTTGTAGCGAAGCACAGGTATCCAGCTAGTGTGTGTGTGTGTGTGTGTGTGTGTGTATTAATTAGAGGGAGAGGGAAAGGGAGAGGGGAGCAGGAGAGCTCTATTTCCTTATATCCTGAATTCCCACTTTTCAAATTCAGACTATGTCTATTTCTGTAAGCGTTCTCCGTATTTCTTCCTAATGCTGGATTCTAAAATAAACTGCCACAGGTTTTATCACAGTACTCGATCCCTCAACCCCTCACTGTGGAAGAGATGCCTCCAAGCCGAATGGGCTCAATGAGCGTAGTGGTGGTCTTCTCCTCCCGGTTGGATTTTTTCTCGGGAGGCCCTGCTCCTCCATCTCCAGCAGCCCGCTTGCTTCCAGCTCCTGACATGGTGACTTTTGGCCGTGGGCCTGAACCAGGAATCAAGCAGTTAGCCAAAGAAGCAGCTGTTCAGTTAAAAAAGAGAAAAAGTTGAAATTATTCCAAAGTAAGACTAGAGTGGTATTTAATGTATACAATGTCTAAAAATCCTCTTCAATCTTTTAATTCTAAAGTTCTGAATTTTAAATATTTATTCTTTTTTAATCGACTTGTATTATAATATTTACAGTTTTTATATTGTTGTCTTATGTGTACACCACCCAGAATCGCTCTGATGATTTCTAAATGTAGTAAACAAATAAAATAAATAAATCACCTCGCCTAAACCTGGCCAGAAGTGGGATAAACAAGCCCCAACACAGGGCTTTTGATGGAGAACATGAACAAAATCAAGGATTGTAGCAACATATTTTAATTTAAAAATTGATTTGGGCACTCAATTCGCAACAGTGCAACTCTAGGCACCATGCATCAATAAAACAGAATTTCAAAGGCCTTAATAACAAAACAACCCAAAATCAATAAGAACAAAACAACACCGTTGAGGTCCACCAACATATCTCACAACCTGGTCCCACCAATCAGGTTTTCAAAGCCTTTCTGAATGCCATCAGGGTTGGGACCGGTCAAATTTCATTGGGGGGAGGGCGGAGTATTCCACCAGTACTAAAGCAATACAATAAAAACTGCACTTACATTATATTAAAAAAATTTAAATGCAAGGTTTTTTTCAAGCACAAATCTGCTCCATCCTGGGTTTTTTTAAAATACAACCAGCAGGATGGGTGGGTGCTATTAAATATTGTAAGAATAGAGTACAAAATTGGGAATAATGGAAAGAGAAGGAATAAAGGAAACTGCAACTTAAAGTCACCTTGTGGGGGAGAGGGGCAGTATCTATATGTATATGCGTGTGTGTGTGTATATGTATCTGTTTGTGTGTGTGTATGTATG